AATTATTAAAGTTTTATCGCTAATAAAATCTTTTTATTTAACTTGAAAACATTTTGAATAAATAAATCCATTATTCTCCTCTATAATTATGGAAAGGCAATAAAAACAGCAGTGGAACACGTACACTCTCATTCCACCATTTTATTTTCCGTAATAAACTCAATTTGTGTAAGTCTATTAACGTGGCGAAGTCAAAGTTTTCCAATAACGTCGGCGCTAGTTCCGAGCGTGAAATCAACCGATTCATTTCGCAATATCTTAATCTTCCCCATCCCTAAAGGAAACATTTAATATTGCAATATATGAAATTAATATTTTCTACGTGTCAGCTTCATTCATATTGCTGTTATTAAGGTTTTATATAAATCTAGAGACCCACGTCGGCATCACACATATAATTTACGTCTAGAAACTTGGACATCAACAGTTATAATCGTGTATCAGATAATTAAGTTACATTAAAAGAGAGCTCATTATATCATCTATATTTTATCCTTTTATTACCGTAATAGAACTTACCAAGATTGAAGAGGATGTCAAGTAACCAATGGTATATTAGGTAAAGTATAAAATTAAACACATATTATAGAGATTAAAATCTTTTTGAGTTATCTCACTAATAAGCCATAAAAACGCTAGTATCCGTAGTAACTGCAGATGGTGGAACTTTTACTGAATAATATTACCAAACCTGGCTTACACTGAAAGTAAAAAAAAAAATTAAACTGAAAGTAGAAAGTAAAACTGAATACCCATTATTTACGAACAAAATTAAAAGCAGGTTTGATGTATGGAAACACGCCTTATATATTTATTTAATTATCTTTTTAGTATTTATTGTTATAGTGGCAATAGAATAAAAAATACATATTAGACAAAATCACATACATTGCTCAGATTCCGAGTAGCTAAAGCCCTCGTATTATGGAGTATCTGAGACAACGAAGGTACCATAATGCCCAGACCCGACACAAAGTTCGCTTACTACATTGACACGACCGGGAATCGAACCCCCTCATCGAAACTCAGAGATGATGACACCTTGAAACCAGAGTGCAAACCACTTGGCTACGGAGGTCGTCAAAAAAAGGTAAAGAAACACATCACCTATGAATATTTCTATATCACGATTCATGACATATAGCCTGGTGACAGATGGACGGACAGCGGAGTTTTAGTAATAACGTCCCGTTTTTACTCTTTGAGTAAAGAACCCCAAAAATGGATATGTATTGCATTCTTTATATTAGTTATCTTATTTATCAATTTAATTGTGATCTAATTTAGCAGAGATTTTTCGTAATGGCCTTTTATACCCATTGATACTCTAGTTTTTCTTATTCCTCATAATTTAGTTGGACTAACAACAACAAAAATGCCTTTGATCCACCCGGGTTAAGTAAGTAGATACACCACGATCGAAGACGGCTCATTCTCTGTCTTTATCATGAAAGGTCTGGGCCCAACAGTGGGGACATAATTATTATTAATCATATACAAAACCTGTGACCTTAATATCAGACTTTTCGTAGCTCCGCCAACCATATGCACTTATGACATCTATGTGTTGAAAGTGTGGAAAAACAATATTTCATTCTTTGCTTGAAAAATATAGGCACTCCATTGAATTTCAAGATCATACAAATTACTAATAACTCATATTGTACATAAGTTTGTAAATATTAGGTCATTACATATGAAATTGGTGTTTAGTATGGGAGGAACAAAAAGGAATCGCAAAATGTGTTGGTAAGCGCATAACTCAACAACGCCTCGACCAATTTGGCCAAATCTTTTTTTAAAATGTTCGTTGAAGTTCAAGGATGGTTTTTACGGCGAGAAAAATTAGAATTATTGCTGGAAAAACCCTAAAAATAGCCCTTTTCTTTTTCCCATACAAATGATTTGTAACTAAAACGTAGTCAATTTGAGCTTTATTGCTATGGTATAAAGTTCATATTAAATTACAAGCACTCACTGTTGTCTAAGCAATGTAGGTGTGTTCCTAACGTCAAAGAACATATCTATCAAAACAATGTGCGTGTGTGCGTTGGAGCACAGAATACATAGTTGGAGGAGTTTAATGTCGCGTTCCGAAACTCGCGTTTCTTTTGTATTAGTTTCGGCACGCGAGATAAAATGCATCAGTTTCCACGTCATTACATCAGTCAAACAAAAATCGCGTTACCAACAGTGTTTTATTATTTTTAATATCCAAACTTTAAATCAATAAAACAATTCGTACGGCTTAAAAGGATTTGACTTCAAGTCATATAAAATTTAAAAAAAAAAAAATTGTCTGTGACCTAATCTACTGAGTTTGCTTTTGTCAACTGATACACGAAACAAATTCGTATATCGTGTTTTGTGCAGAGTGTTTACTTAGTTAGTGTTTGTTTAGTTCGTGATTAGTGAAAAAATAATTTATATTTGATATGCCTCCTATAAGACGAAGCAATTTAGGTAGAAGAACCAGAAATGCTACAAACCAAGCTAATTACCGATCTAATCGTACTGCACAAGAACGTGACGACGGAAATGAACGTGAAAGAATTCGGATATCACAAACGCGTGAAGCGCGAGCGCGACATTCAACTAATAATCGCGCAAGTTTGAATCGAGCTGCTTTCAGTTACGATGTGTCAATTGGTCAATTGACACATCGTAACTGAAAGCAGCTCGATTCAAACTTGCGCGATTATTAGTTGAATGTCGCGCTCGCGCTTCACGCGTTTGTGATATCCGAATTCTTTCACGTTCATTTCCGTCGTCACGTTCTTGTGCAGTACGATTAGATCGGTAATTAGCTTGGTTTGTAGCATTTCTGGTTCTTCTACCTAAATTGCTTCGTCTTATAGGAGGCATATCAAATATAAATTATTTTTTCACTAATCACGAACTAAACAAACACTAACTAAGTAAACACTCTGCACAAAACACGATATACGAATTTGTTTCGTGTATCAGTTGACAAAAGCAAACTCAGTAGATTAGGTCACAGACAATTTTTTTTTTTTTAAATTTTATATGACTTGAAGTCAAATCCTTTTAAGCCGTACGAATTGTTTTATTGATTTAAAGTTTGGATATTAAAAATAATAAAACACTGTTGGTAACGCGATTTTTGTTTGACTGATGTAATGACGTGGAAACTGATGCATTTTATCTCGCGTGCCGAAACTAATACAAAAGAAACGCGAGTTTCGGAACGCGACATTAAACTCCTCCAACTATGTATTCTGTGCTCCAACGCACACACGCACATTGTTTTGATAGATATGTTCTTTGACGTTAGGAACACACCTACATTGCTTAGACAACAGTGAGTGCTTGTAATTTAATATGAACTTTATACCATAGCAATAAAGCTCAAATTGACTACGTTTTAGTTACAAATCATTTGTATGGGAAAAAGAAAAGGGCTATTTTTAGGGTTTTTCCAGCAATAATTCTAATTTTTCTCGCCGTAAAAACCATCCTTGAACTTCAACGAACATTTTAAAAAAAGATTTGGCCAAATTGGTCGAGGCGTTGTTGAGTTATGCGCTTACCAACACATTTTGCATGCAGTCTTTTACATATTCAAATCTCACATTAGCGTTGGAATCAGTATCGCATTGTGAACTGTGCATTTCGCTTCAGGTTTTACTGCCAAGTAGTATTATTCCTTTCGCTCCATTTACACTGTTCCCTGTACCTACTTTCATATCCACGATTATACCAGCGATGCAAATACCTTCTTACGCAAATACTAAACGCAATTCTAATGTAAACAATAACATTCACTTATTTCAACGCTACATCATCAACAGTCCTTTGGGCGTTCAACACGGTGTCTAATAACATTTTCACCAGTTACTCGTATTTCATCATCATCATCATCATCAGCCCTTTATTTCGTCCCCACTGCAGGAGCTCAGGCCTTCCTTATGGATGGTTAAGGAGCACGGGCCATGACCTTCCACGCTGGTCCAATGCGGATTGGCGGGTATTAACGACTACAAATGCAGCCCGGACCAACGGCTTAATGTGCCTTCTGAAGCACGGAGTAGCTCGAGATCATATTTTTTGGTCACTCATCCCGTGAACGACCCTTGCGAAAGTTGCTTAACGGCAACGATCGTGAGCCACGGCGCTTATCCACTATGCCACCAAGCTACTCTACTCGTTTTTGACATCTTAAAAATTACATACTCATAAATAAAATCAATTCTGGTTTTATTTTGTCAAATGATATTTTATTTCTATTAGATCTTACAAGAAGCCAGGCGATATCCATACATTTCATAGTGAAATCAATAATGTTACATTGGTTGCGAGGAAGTACACCTAATTACTAATATTCAATATTAAAGCCATAGACGTCTTAGAGCATAAGTACATATTAAGAATTATAGTCATAATTTATTATTTTATACATAATGTTTGATATGATTCTTTTAGATATCTAATCGAATTTAATTCATTGAATTTCACATTTTAACATTATTTTAATTGATTACATTTGGAAATGTCTTAACCGAACTCAACAACAAAAATTTCAAGAGAACAATATCCATCTAAATGGCACGGTATTGTAATAATAACCATCTCTCTATTAATCAACAAATATACAACTTACAATAGGTTGTCAAATATTATAATTAACGCTAATGGTATATTATTCTACTTTATTAGTAAGTACCAAGTATTGACAGTGGCGCCGATGTTCTGGCATAACAATCTATCCGAAAATATGTATGTACGTTCTACCTTATTTAATAATAATATAAAATGTCTTCAATATTAAATTTAAACATCTTATCACAATAATCTCTAGTGAAATCTACTTTATCCTTAGTTTTCTTATATTCATAGCATTAACTGAATTACTAGTTGTACTTAGTTACTTTAGATAGTTTTTAGTACCGTTACCAAGCGTCACTATAGTAGATATGTACACAGATATATACAATTATCTTAATATTAACTATTACATTATTTTGAATTCTACAACGAAACTAATAATGAATGCCTACCGATGTGTCTACCAATAGATCTTCAGTATTGTGTCCAGCTTTTGGCTGAAAAAAAAGAAATTATATTTATTAAGATACTTCACATTGCACTAGGTTTGCTTTTGATGTAATTCAAATTACAAAGTTGCTTGTCTTGTTTTACTTAATTAAAACTACGAAACAGTTTTATTCATTATAGATGTATAATAGTAAAAAACGTACCTTTATAATGCATGTCTCGGTGCATACTGGGGCAAGTTTTTCCGGGATACTGAAATTTTCATATTAGTTTTGTAATCATCTTTTCTATTGAAATCATAACTTAATATTATGTATGTTTAGGATCATATTACCTTGCTCAGGTCGAAATCGATGTTGGTTCTGACAGCGCGGTGGTGTAACGGCTGTGGTGGCCTAAAGTTGTTGCCTAGAGGGGCTTTCGGATGTCTTGCGTCACCTTGCATCAGTCGTCGCAGCCCATGCAGCTAATAAAAAAGCAAGAGACATATTCAAATAATGTATACAAAGCATACAATAATTAATACAAAATCGCTTCCGCTGTACGCTTAAATGTTTTACACTACACAACGGATTTCTATGTGGTCAATGTATACTAATAGAGTGATTCAACAGGAAGGTTTATATGTATAATACAGGCGAAGCCGCTGGAGAAAAGCTACTAATAAATATTAGACAATATTATATACATTACTGACATCCTAATTTTATAATTGCAGAAAAAATACGTTTACAAAGGTTGGAAAGACTATAAAAACAAAATAAAAACTATTAGGGCTCAATAAACTCAATAACGGCAACATCTATTACATTTTCAGCCTCCAAATTAACATAGACAGTATTTATTCGTCCATATAATGATTTCCTAATACAATCACGAAAAGCCATATAAACTGCGAAATAAACATTTGCCGGAATTATTGAATTAAACCTATTACGACTGGCTACCGTTTTCTATATTTAGCGGTTGCAAAATCCAACCATAACGGTGCCAAGTAAATTGAAATTTCTTCGTTTATATGTCGACTGTGTGTTGTAGTGAGCAGGGGATTAACGGGCCGGTCTCACGCGAACGCTATCTCATCCCCATCGCTGTTTACGCTGTATTAAACAATTTGATTCTGATTATAGACTCCACCTAAACTTTGATTTTCCCTCTACGGAACAGCAATTTACTCTTTTTACGGTCGTCGGACGATGTAAATGTGTTTGCCTTTGTAATACAGGAAATAATGTGTTATGTTAATAGCAAACTATGTTTTTTTCTGTGAAATTTTTCTCATATTGGAATCTATGTGTGATAAGTTAATTAATATTATATTCGATTTTTAATCAAATTAGCATTATTAAGGTTTATTTGTTGTTTTACATAAAGAAAAAACAATATAATTAAAATTGGACATTCAAAACTTTTTTGATAATATTGAACTTTATACATAAAAATATTTTGAATTGGCATAATTCGTTACGTCGAAATATGTTCAGCTGACGATAATATTATTGAGAAAATAAATACGGCTGCAAATGTCCTTCAGTTATAACTTCAGTGGACAATCGAGACAGTCCTGGATTACGAACATTAACCGGCTGAGTTAAAGTTTGAAACAACCTTACTTGACGCAAACGTATATTAGATTGCGTCGAAGCGACCACACGGCGTTCGTTCAAGTCCCCGCGAGATTGCAAGCAGTTTCCACTAGCACTTAATTTTCTCACCAACAAACGGAAAACATAAACAATGATTTATAATAACAGCCACACAACGCGGCACTTTCAGTTTACTTTTAACACGTACATAATTCACGGCGGAGTCTTTGTCTAAGGCGAGGGACGTGAGTTGTTTATTTACACGGCGCACAAATGAAAATGTTATTATTACACGACCTCGACCATGGCTTGAAGATCTAGCTCATATATCTGGAAATGGTAAGTTCACAGGCAAACTAATTCATATAACAATAGGATGTCTATTTAAGTAGATACATTTTATTATTAATTTGAAGTAAATATATTGATATAATATCTGAAATTGATATACTTTGCCTTCAATATCATCCGGAAAAGTATCGAGGGAGGTTATTATATAAACAAGATGAACTTAATGCCAACTTGGCGGATGCAACAGAGCCGGAGTTTTTATCAATGATGATTACTTCAGACATCCTAAATATTTATTCAGTTTTATTGAACAATTTATTTTTAAACTGCGTTGCGTGAGTTTGAATAATAATTTCAACGTGTGCTTTATCGCATGCAAATTTTATTCTCAACTTAAAGTGTTGTAGTTTCCAATGTTACACATAGATTGTTTTACATTAAATGCATAAAAATAAAAAGAAAACAAAGCGGCTAACCGCTTTTTGTAATTAAAAATATTTTATTGTATCTAACTAAATGATAAACAATTATTATTGTTTTTGCAAATTATTTACTTCCAAAAAATACAACACTTCGTAATAAAAAAAGATCAATATAACACTTAAATACAATATTTCCATTTTAAATGCGATCTCCGGAGCCGAGTGGCTAACTCGTCGCCTCACGTCGGCATGTTTGAAGTCTCGGGTTTGACTCCCGTTTGGTTCAATGTAGAAAATTAACTTTTCTCGTGGCATCTGATTTTAGTACACCCCATGTATATGATAATAATATTTACCTATGTATTTTAATTGTGTGGCTTCGCTCGTGTAGGTCGTCAAACAGGACAGATAGCCAATTTTATCGAAAAAATAAAAATATTTTACAAGTTTCGCTTTCTCATCACAAACTCAGTATAGATAGTTTAGACAAGGTAAAGCCTTAATATTAAGAGTTATCTTATCAATTTATACTAACTCTGTGGCAAAGATTTAGAATGAAGGAATGCTTGTAATCGAAAAGGCGGACGAACTTATTCAAAACAATTAAGGACAGAATAAGTATTTAAATTTAATTTTACTGAATGCGTTTCTTAAAAAAATATTATCAGCCAGTTGCACAAACTTTCATTAAAATTGCCATTAGTTTAATGCTATATTACCTATACGGAGATTCAAATTTATAACATATATTAAAGCTTAAAGTCTAAACTATTTAAAAATCTTTCAACTACGGGACTTTCATCATACATGGAAAAATAATGTACACGGGCTAAGTCGCATTTACGTTTCAATTGCCTTCAAAAATGGAAGAGGTTCTCTCACAAATCTTTTAAAATATTTTATTGAATGTTCGAATAACAATTTTAAAAGTAAAATTGAAGTTGACATACTAGACTCAACTTGTACGACGATGATCCGTGGGAAAATTTGTATATAATATTAAATGACTTATCCCTGAAAGTTATGTGATAGTTAAAAATTTAAGACGCAATCTTAAATTTCGAGGTATTTTTTTAGACCACAGAAATTAAATCGCCTGTAAAAAAGTTCTTGTCAATGTATATTATATCCATTTAAGATGAGTAAAGTGAATAATGAATAAAATTACCTGCTGCTTAGTGATATATATGGGTTTGTTGATGATAATCCACGTGACCGTTTCGAAGCACGCCGGCGCTGTAGTGGAACCGTCGTACGTCATATAATAATCTGTGTCGGGGAGTAACCCACGTACGGACAACTTGTTGACTGGCATCTCGGCTCCTTTGAACAAACAAATTCTAGCATCATCAGCCTATTTATATCTCAAGCTCCCACTGTAGATATAATCGCATAGGGAGAACGGTAAACAATCATGTGGGCTCGGTGCGGACTGGTGGGCGTTAACGTTTGTAAGTCCGGTCGTCAAACAGATATGATTCCGTACGTATCTTTGTGACTACTGATGGATATCGTAAACATTTTTTGTTTACTATGACAAAATTAGCTACATGAATCTATGCGGGTGCAATAGCTATATGATTGCGCAGAAGTAAAGGGATATATAATACCTGAGGGTCTTAATCTGCTTGTCTACGAACGAAAATTACAAAAATTACGAACCGTTCTTACAATTTCTTTAAAATCATATGCATTAATATTATCTGTGCATCAGAAGCAGTGTTAGGGTGCTACCTCCGTTTCGTTATTGATTATTGAAAAATTTGTTCCTTTAGAGTCGTATTAGGGTTTGAAAAATGGACGAATTTTCATTTTTCGGAGAAACAGAGTAGGCCTTCGGGTCATTGTATGAAATTCTTTTTGTTCGGCGACTGGATTATACATGCTATTCTGTTCACAAAACAATCTCGAACTCATCGTCGAAGGCAGCGCTATAATGTCATGTAACTTCAGTTAAATAAACCTTTATTATCTTTTGAAGTAGGTAATAAATCATAGAGGTTTATTGAAATAAAACCTACTTCAAAAGATAATAAAGGTCCATTGACATAACAACGTTGTGTTTGACATCGCATTTGGCGCTGTTATATAATAGAATAGCAATACATATTTAATTGGCATCAACGGCTTAACGTGCCTTATGAAATATTAAAGAGCTAGAGATAAGTAAATTTTTGGTTTGTTATATTATTATACGACCATGCTTGCAAATATTTGGTTAACCTTTGTAGCGGTAGACCGAACACTTTGACCATTACGCCATAGATCTCTCCAATATACTTTCGGCCGGTTTCTGAATTGAGAAAGCACCAAATCTCAACTGATTATTCTAATTATTTACGTTTCATATGGTAAAAAGTAAAAATATATATATATAAATCAGTAATAAAAGCCTGTTCAATTGACGTTTAAAATGGCTTAACCACGGTTTGAGATGTGCTCAACTTCAAATTCTCAATTACATATAGCCCAACTCTGACTTGAAGGTAGCTGATACAGTGTAAGTATCAGCTACCTTCAAGTCAGAGTTGGGCTATATGTAATCTAAATTGATGACTATATTAAGTAACCTGTTTTACTGTTATGATTACCTGTAAATAGCGACTATTATTTAATCATAATCACTTTTCGATTCACTCCTATTAATTTATTTAATAATGACTCCAAATGTTTTTTTTTCTTATATTGTAATTATCATCCATATAACCCAAATAAATCTAATTACAATATCATGCATTTCATCATCATCATCATCATCATCATCGCCATCATCAGCCCTTTTACGTCCCCACTGCAGGGGCTCAGGCCTTCCTTATGGATGGTTAAGGAGGAGATAACCCTCCACGCTGGCTCAATGCGGATTGGAGGGTATTAACGACTGCAAATGCAGCTTAACTCCAACGGCTTAACTCGAGATAATAATTTTTTTTTTGGTCACCCATCCCGTGACCTAATCTTGCGAAAGTTGCTTAACGACAACGACCGCGGGCCGCGGCGCTTATTCACTACGCCACCGAGCTACACATTTAGTACATGCATTTAGTTATAGATAATACTAATATTATGAAGAGAGAAAATTTATCGTTTATTAGTTTGTTTACATTCAAGCTCCGAAACTACAGGCTAAAATTTATGCAGGCGAAGTCGTGAGAAAATAGCTAGTTATTGATCAATCTTATCAAGATACTACTAAATTTTCGATCAATAAAGAGTTCTGAATGGTTATAGTAAGTTTTCGTATCTAATAATATAATTGTCTCAAAATATGTTTTCCTCACCTCCATATTTGATGTTCTCTAACTCTTCAGTCAATATTCTTAACTCTGGATTTGATAAATCACCAAGCTGTAACAAAAATATTTATAATTCATTGTTGATTTAACTTAATTTTAAGAAACTTGTTTTCAAAAAGAAGGTACATACATATATACCATGCATTGTCAATAAGACGAATTTAACGAATTTTTAGATAATATGTTTCATATCTGACGGAAGAAGCTCCACGTTTCTTTGGTAGCGCAACGCCAAAACTGTTATATGAAGTCCTTACATGTGAAATTGGTGTTTGGTATGGGAGGAATAAAAAGTTGAATATTTTTAATATAATATATTTATTTAATCAAAGTATAAACCATTGTTATCTATGCACTTTTGCCATCTTATAGGTAGTTCATTGATTCCTTTACTAAAAAAACCATTCAGAAGGGATCAATAAAATCTTTGAAGGCTATTTGCACTGCCCCATTGGAGTAGAAAATTTTCCCTTGCAAGAAGTCATCCAAATTTCGAAAAAAATGGTAATCTGTTGGAGCAAGGTCCGGGGATCATTAACCCTTCGAGCCGTTCCGCAGCACTGTAAATAAATTGTAAATAACACGATATTTCAGTTAGTTATGCATTTTTTATACTGAGTGACGTAAATAGGATAAACAGAAGAAAAAAAAATAAATACCGCCTAACGAAACACAAATACATGTGTAAATGGCTGTATAAATTTGAATTTGGAATTCCCAACCAAGGAGGAGAAATTTGTGATTAAAGTGGCCAGTACGACAAAACGCCAATTTCATATGTAACGACCTAATATTATATACTTGGCGGATATTGTGAGGCTTGGTTCTTTTGTTATTTATTCTACAGATTACAGGGAAAACTTTTGTCTATGTATATTTAAAAAAAAAAAATATTTGCACGCAATCCTTTTTTTGCAAGGGTTATCCTACCTTTTTGGAATCAATCATAAAACATGTTTTAATACTTTTACTGTCAGCTCTAGAAGCACAATATAATAATGCATATCACAATATAATAAAGGTGTCGTAAACACGTACCTTTGAGATTACAAATAACATCCGAAGGCTTAAAAGCGAAGCAACTCGCTTAAATGATAAACTAATTCCACAGATTCTTGGCATAGACTTGCCTCACTGAAAATTTTGAATATAGATATTTTCGTCTATGAATTCAATTATGAACACTACCATAGTATTACAATTCAATAATTTTGCTTTGTATTACATTTACCTTATCAAATTATACGAAATTTATATTCAGCCTTCGGTCTCAATTTTAAATTCCAGCAAACTAAGCTTATGGTGATTTAATCTTTCTCCAAAAAATTTAATTAAATAATGTGGCTAATAATATCAATAAATAATTTTATTTTTTAGGGTAAGATTTTCTTATTACGACATCTTTACACTTATCATCTTACAATTTGGCTTCATCTTACAATCTTAGTTGGCTCAGCAGACGCTTACTCTCGAATTATAGACAATTTTGTATTTTTGACGATATAATTTCGATTGTATTTTTATCGATGCTATATCTACCTCGTATCAGTTCCAGCACAGACTCGTAACAGTGACAGAAAAATGCTTTCATACATTCTCTATAAACGTATCTAATCTAAACCCGTCAATGCCTATGCCGACAGTGATATTAAGAGTGCTATCCAATACACTGACGGGTGAATATGTTTTCAATAGAGAATGTATGAAAGAATAATTAACCACTGATTTAGTTCAGGGCCAGAACTGGTATGTCATCGATGGTTTAATCAAGCGTGAGCCGTAAGGAGGTCTGGCTCATAGGCAGCGGTGACATTGAAAATAATCACTCATTAAATTAAATTCAAACAAAACATAAACAAATCCAGAGGTAGACTGGCAGGAAATTAATTGCCACTATCGAAATTGTTTTCGTCGACCCCAAAAGTGACTCGCGATATAGTTTACGTTCATTTAGCAGTTCGTAATTTGAACTAATAGCTTTGCCGGCTAATCCAATGGAACGCAGAAAATTCCAATTTCCTTAATTAAGCGCGCTCAGTTCGGCGGAATAAGGCAAGGTGCGATGAAAAGGTGTGGCTCTTATAACTTGCCTATAACATCAATTACATGAAAGCGCAACACCAATTTGAAAAAAAAATGCAAATCACGCTAATCCACTCCTTCATGTAAACAACCATAGGCACTCTCCACTTCGCTTCAAAGTATACCATTGTAAATTTATAGCGCTTGAAATGTACTACTAATGGGTTAACTTACAAATAATAATGACTCAGTGTAAGTTGATCAATAGGACACTTATAAAAATAAATCTATGTCATATTTAGACATATATCAAATAAATTATTAATGTTTGGAAATAAGTTCGTAGCCCTTTTTGTTTTCTTTTATTTTAAAACAGTTTTCGCTATAAGACAAAATATATTTTTTTATTGCTGGTGCACTGGCAAATGCTTGAATGGTGACACGGTTAACAAGGACCTCTATAAAGTTCAGTAACACCGCATAAAAGAGGCTATTCTAGTGAAAAGATCCCATTAACGAGGCCATACTGTACTCCTTCACGACGATACCAAATCCCATATTGCACAAGTCGTCAACGCTGGATTTCAAGAGCTCGAAGGGTTAAGTCCTTCAGCATTTGCTATATCTTCAGATCTTTCATTATCATTAATCATCGCATCAATTCATATCCCCACTACTGGTGTACAGGTTTTTCCTATGGCTGGAATCGAATCGCGTTGACTAGAAAGAATGGGCAATAACCCACTACGTGGGCTCAGTGTGCATTAGTCCCTGCTGTTAACTCCTATAGAATAGCGTCTTCTCCATTCCCTATCAAACCATATGAGGGGCATAACCTTCAAAAACGAAGAGAACCTTAAATCTAACTCAATAATTATTTTTTATACCAGACTACGTGATTTCTGGCTGAATAGAATCAATAATTTGGTCGTGAGGTGAGAGGAGATCTTATGAGTTACTTGTTATTGTAATTGATTTTTTATTTAAATAAAAGTCATTGATAAGAATGCTACAAACTACTCCAACAATTGTCTGTAGGTATATTATGCTCACAATAACGACTAATAAGGTTTGCTATCTGGAAAATATTTCTACACAAAGACAACATTTTACCTGCAAAAGTAGAGATATAGAAACAATCCCCTGTGCTTTGTGCAACGCTTCAGAGAAGTTTGAATAAAGTTGTGAATTAAATCCGAATATTTGTATCTGAAACAAAAACAATTTGTTGAAATAATCATAATAAATTTTAAACACAATTTCTGGAAACTTAAATATTATTCTCGTACCATATAGAATTATTCAAAACTTTATTTGACGATTTATCATTACGGGAATCTATTACAACAGTTTTAATAATGAATTACTAAAATGACAATCATTTATTATTTTAAGCATTTTTCACTAAGGATTATAATTATTAAATAAAAACAGCAATCAATTACATAATAATTTCAATAGTAACAACATAGAAAATAACTGAGTTCAGCTTACAAACTTATGAAGACACTTAATTTACATGGCATTTTATCTTAAAATAGGGCAGAAGACCAGATTTTGACCAAGTTAGGAAGTAGAGAACTTTGATACATCGGAGTTGGCAACGGTATAAGAATTAATATCTCATATACCAGTAACTAATATATTTACCTTTATACTCGTATATATTATGTTAAATCGCCTTAACGTCCCAAAAGGGGACTAGGGTTTAAAACCAAGTCATCTGCTCTAACTAGTAACAAAAAATGCATTGTTAATATTATATATGTTCTTAAAAAGCGTTACGCGTAAAAATAAATCTGCTGTTTTGGTAACGGTGGCTTCGTAGGAATTTGTCACACAAATAAACGGGATACATGGTTGAGTTGTTCGCAGTCGTTGCCGGGATTACATCAGGGATTCGGGCGTCTCAGGGAGACGGCTGAGCAGTGCGTGAAAACATCTGTTACGCTCCCTTTACACACCTACCGTATCTTTGATAACGTATTAATGCATTTAACACGGTATCTGTAAAGGGTCCTAAAAGTCATGAAAACAAATATATATGCGCTCAAACCGTTTAAAATAGTTTATTCAATCAATTTTTACAATAGAAAAACAAACATTTAACAGCTCTTCAGGTAATTGATAAAAAATTGATTTTTTTATGCTTGGTTTTGTGTCTTAATCTATTCATAGTAGAATATTAACTAATATATTTGATCAATTTTCAAATTCTATGAATACATGAATACATTTAAATCAATAGATCTGAGAAGTTATCAATATTGATTAAAAAATTGACCATTGTACTTAAGATCTTTAGGTATCCATAGCATCCATTTGCAATGTATAGCGTCATGAAATGAATACATTGAGAGTTTTCTACAATTAAATTAATTAACTACTAATAATGTTTAGTTCTCTTGGTGTTTATTGAATAATTAATTTAATACTATTCGGTTACGTGTACCATTGAGAAGTAAGCTAATAATAGCCTTCACTATTCATGAGTACCTACGTGCAATCAATTAGCGGAACAAGTATACCAAGACGTGTGCATACACTATAGTAATTGAATTATAGCGACCGTAAGTGAGCGAAGATTAGATGACCTGTAGAGTTACCATATATCAGTATTTCTCCTGAGATTTCTTCGTCTTTAGTCTCTTAACAGGACTGAGGACTTATTTTGCTAAAACAAAAGCTTTTTATTTTTAATAAATATACACCATTCTTAAAGCTTTAGATATTTTATAATAACAATAAATTCTTTTATATATGTGATTTTTAAATAAAAAATATTTAAGTAGGAAATTTATTTTAATAATATGGAAATCAATTAAAACATCAACTTTGGATATACTCACACCAATTAATTAATTATTTACATAGAAAAGTATACCAACTTAATCAACTTTGACAACATCTCAGATTTTTTCAATGGCAACCCAGCCTTTCCTCGGGACTTAATATTTTTCAAATAGTAACCTATCGACAGGGAGAGACGAACAGTGGAGAGATTATTCACACTTGCGAAGCACATGTAACCCGAATACTTTAAAAAAAACTAGTATTTTATATATGAAATGAAATTGTTAGTGGATATTTTACAAATAATTTTACATCCATTATTTTAATCATAAATTAGCAAGATTACGTTACTTTTGCAAATAGTTTTATCAATAATTTTGCACCCATATTTTAGTCATAAATTAATAAGATTGTATACATAGCTCTTTGTATAAAGATTTATAACTCAATCAATACATTTATGGTAAAGATTCGGTTAATTTTGGTTTACATTGCGTTTCTTAATTAAGTTACATGACGGTTTTGTTAACTATTAACGAGTGCGTCAGCAAGCAATTACTGTAACCCGTCGGATATGTTTGCGAGACGCAACTGAACTGTGCTGACTACACGTGTCTACGTCATGCATATACCTAAGTAATTACTCTTTCAGTTACAATAACTTAACTTTATTATACTGTATAATTATGTGTGACAACATTTGAGAATCGTCATATAATATTTATTTTATTTAGATTGGTTATCATTGTTCAGATTTGACTACTCTCGAATATTTATCTGTTTCAATTTAAATTAATTTAAAATGTGGAAGAATTTAGATATCAAATTATATTAAAAAACAAACAAAGTTATGACTTTATATTATCCGTAGATGTTACCTAAAGTGCTATTCAGTTAAAAACAGAGGTTCAATGGAGTTAATCGAAGCCTATTTCAAAGGGTACATCATAAGGTTCTATTACATTACAAGGTGTTTAACGCTGCGTCCGAAGCTGTATTTTTAATAAAATGTCAAAGGTAAACTTTGTTACAGCAATAGCAATTAAAATTGCACAAAAACAGATTCAATTTCATAGCCATGTTCCGGATCTTAAATAATTATTTTTATCATTTGTTTCCTGTGAGTTAAACAGTGTATTTTACAGTCCTACCCATCTGAAAAATCTTCTTAATCCGAATTTTTTCTTGTTCAAGGCTCTCAGGGGCAATCTTCTTATCACATAAAACATTTATGAAAACTGTATTCATGTAACAACGAACAGATAACTAACATATTTCTTTATGATATCGCATTCTAAATTAGATATCTAAAATTTGTTTTTTAATATCTATATAAGGAAATAATGTTTTATAGTACTGATACAATACTATAATTTCTCAACACACATTGAAATATAATATTTTATGTATACATCTATACTAATATTATGAAGAGGAAAGATTTGATTGTTTGTTTGTTCGCAACGTATAGGCTCCGAAACTTCTGGACCGATTTTAAAAATTCTTTCACCTACGGGAAACTCATATACGGTAAACATATTTTATCTAGAAAAGCAGGAAATAAAAGAATGAAAATGGGAGTGAAAGTTTGTAACGATTATTTAATATTCAATTGGTGATTGTAATTATATCCGTGTCATGATATGAATCGCTATCCAAATAAACAGTTCCTTGGTGACCACGCGGGCGAAGCCGCTGGGGGAAAAATAGTATTATATATATGAATGAACAAGTTAATTTTCTAATCGAGGTATTTTGCTACTATTATTATTATAAGTGAGTATCAGTTAGTTCGATACCTATTTATTTATTTTGTCAATGTATTTAACACCTTTTATACCTTGATATATATGTATATATTTAAGCAGACGTGCAATAAAACAAATGTAATGTAGGGAACTATAGGTATTGTATGTTTTTCTTAGATTTTCTGTACATGTAATTTTGTATAACTGTTTGTTCCTTTATAAATAAAAATAAATAAAAGAAAAATTTATTTATGTCACATCTACTATTACAATTATAAGGATTATACTTTTGTCTATGAATGGAATTATTATCAGCATCGAGATTTTTTATAAATACATTATATTGAGCTTAGTTACACTATACAAATATTAAGTCTTGACCTATGAAATTGCCGTTTTTCATTAAATAAATTGCATTTCTCGTCACAAGTAACAATGCGGTTCAGAATTCCTTCATTTATTTTTTCATAATTGTGTTCGTGGGGTACCCATTTGTCAAACTTTTTAACCTTGCCAATTTCATGCAAATGGACCAATATTGTTTTGATGCTAACATCGAAAGCTACAGCTAATTCAGCTATATATTGAGTTTCATCAGCTTTTACAATCACCTTTAATTTGTCATTGTCGACCAAAGTTTTTGGACTACCACGGGGTTCCCTTTTCAGGTCAAAATTCCCAGAATGGAAGCGGGCAAACCAATAACCGGTGGTGCGTTCTTTTGTAGTGTTCGCTGCGTTAATGTCGTTGATTATGCGTGCCGCTTGTGCCGCTTTGCTGTCACAATGGTACTCATACTCCAAAATTACTTAATTTTTAACTTATCCATGACCACGAAAAACGTTCGAATGCATTGACAACAAAACATTAACTATTAAACAAAAGACGATTTAAGAAAAAAGAATAAAACCTATTACCTGTTTAAAATTATGCCTCGAACACTATTCTAGAAATGTCCAACTGTTAAACTTGTTTTTGTTAGCACTTCTTTGAACTTATATACCACTCATAAATTATAAACTAGGATGCATGCATTTTAAATATATGAATCTTTGAATATTTTTCTTTGTTTTATTAGCTTTTCTCGTACGATTTGTAGTTGATTACGTTAATTCTGTTAAAGATAACATGATATATAAATCTGAATGAAAACTTAAAATGGTAAAGGGTAAATTTTAAAATGGTAAATTTTAAACTCACCTCGGCAGGAAAAGAATATCCGTTGATTGCATGCTCGGATCCGAATTGATCGTGAAGGCCGTAGTGTATGTGAATCTCGTGGAATTGATATTTATAAGACAGGGGGCCACCGGTGATGTTGATGTGGTGTCTTGTCTCGTTTTCCACAGTAAAGATGACTGAGTGACCTGTGTTACTTATTAAGCCATTTATCTGAAAGACAATGATTAAAGTTAGACATGTAAAAGAGATATATCTTCAGTGATAACCGACGAATCAAGATTATTTTTAATATACTATAAAGTTATATTCATTGATAAGAGAAAATCATAGAGTTTAGTAAGGTCTATGTCCAAAACATCATAAAATGTTTACCATCTTTAAATAGTACTGTGTTCACTACGAAATCAATCACCACATCGATTTGTACAAAATCAAGTAATTGGATATATATAAATGAATATATCGTTATTTTCGTTTTTCTAAAATAAGTGATTAAAAAACCAATTCTTAAGAAAGTATAAACACCAAATTTCACAAACTTTCATTTGGTTTTGTACGAATAAATAAAAACCAAATAAGTAGTAATTATAAATGGACATACGACATCATCACATTTCTGATGGATTTGGCAAAATCAAAATATGACTTTAAAAATTTTCTTCGATAGAAAAAAAATATTTCTAAAACTATTACATACATATATTATATCTAAAATTATCAACACTCCATTTCTTCTCATAATCATACTCTTTTTAAAATTAATACATTTTATAACTTTGTAGCCCACTGACGGTTTTACGGAGCTCATTTACTTTTGTAAATAAAGCAATATATTAAAATATTTTTATTTTAATATATTACTTTATTGTTTTATAAAAAAAAAATACTGGAATACTCACTCTATGTTTATCTATGTGCAAAAACCGTAGGTTGGGGTCGAAGAGCAGTTTCTCCGGTTCTAGGTTTACCGGTGACTGCCGACGTCCTTTGTTGCATAAGGACCATTCTGGATTTATAAGTCCCCAGAACGCTGGACCTGCCACAAAATCATTAAATAAATATTTAACAACATCACATACATTGCTTAGATTCCAAGATGAGTAGCTAAAGCCCCCGTATTATGGAGTATCTGAGACAACGAAGGTACCACAACACCCAAACCCGAGTCAATATAGAAAAGTTCATTTTCTACATTGACCCGACCGGGAATCGAACCCGGGACCTCAGAGATGGCGACACCTTGAAACCGGCATGCGAACCACTCGGCTACGGAGGTCAATAAATATTAATTTGAATAAATATTAATTCATTTTCTCACCCACCTTCATATTTAGCTAAGAGGGACAATTACATTTCAGGCTATATAATTGATATATGTAATAAAATAAGAAAAATGTAATATACACACCATAGTGACGTCATTAAGAGAATAGAGATCATGCCTGGGTAAAAAAAGAAGTTCAATTTATTCATTCAAAAAGAGCTAAGCTAAGCTAAGTTAAAGATGAGGAGTGGGGGTTCGCTACGTCACAGCTTTGTAGTATACGCACAAGAGAGTGATGTCATATGATATTTTAACTCAATGCATCAACATAATTCATTGATTACGCAAAAAATGGTGTTTATTAATCTTCAATAATTTACCTGACGGACAGAAAAAAATCTTGTCATCACCCTATTCATAATTATCATAGGTCAACAATTTTTTTCTATTAACTTTCCTAGCACAGTGTTGCCGTAACAAAATAAATATACATTACATAAAGTAAAATTTCGAAAATAAAAATGTATTAGTGTACCTCCCCTATATGTAAAGTGGGATGATATGTTTTTATTTCGTATTCCCTAAAGTGTGGAAGTAGTTGCACAAGTCTTTCAAAAGTTTGTTGTTTTCTATGCAGTTGATAGAAAACAAAAAATCTGACTTTACTTTTTTTAATTGATAATGGTACGGAACCCGCTAATTTAATTTATTTAACTTATATAATCCACACACACTGAAGATAATTTCTATTCGTGAATGTTAAATCAAACATTGAAATGGCACACGCGGCCAACGACATTAATTTATGCTAACTTTAAATACAAAAGTTACATGAAGCATCCAGAACATAGAGAGGATTATGCACGAGCGTGTTATAGACGCCGCTGCACATGTTCATTATATCAAATGAAACAGAAATTCCTGTTAATTTGTCGCTATGAAAATGGCCTTTAGTGGAGCGAAAATGCATTCTGAAAGTTTCACTAATAAAGTGTCTATACAAATTTCACCGATCAAAGTCCTTTAATGATCGCATGCATATACAGAGTTCTTAATATCAAGCTATAACCATCGATTATAGCGGTTAGGCAAATTTGTTATAATACCGGTCAAATTGAACAAATGTTTTAATCGCTTTTTTATATTAGTTATACATAGCTGTTTCTTCACAAGGATTTCACCCGCATAAATATAGTTTTTGTCACCCACGTATGATGCTTCTCGTAGGTGAAGGAATTTTTAAAATCATCCTGTAGTTCCGGAGCTTATTCGGTGCTAACGGAAAAACAAAATCAATCTATTCTTTTTTCATAATATTAAATTATAGCCTATGTCACCTGCGTGTGAAGTAGTTTCTCGAATGTGAAAGAATTTTTAAACTCGGTCTTATTCGATGCTAACTAACATACAAATAAAAAAATACAAACAAAAGTGTTGTCGTTTTAATATTACTAATAAGTTGCGGAATATAAAGGGTGTTATAAAAACTATAAAAAACTGGCCAAATGCGAGTCGGACTCGTGCACGAAGTGTTCCGTACCGAAAACGAGCAAAAAAAATCACGTTTTTTGTATGAGAGCCCAGTTAGGTCCTTACATATGAAATTGGCGTTTTGTCGTACTGGCCACTTTAATTTCAAATTTCTCCTCCTTGGATGGGAATTCCAAATTCAAATTTATATGGCCATTTACACATGCATTTGTGTTTCGTTAGGCGGCATTTATTTATTTTTTTCTTCTGTTTGTCCTATTTACGTCATCCCAGTGTAAAAAATGGAAAACTTGAAATATCGTGTTACGGGTGGTAGTACGAATACGAGTTCCACCGTGGTAACAGTGCTTCGGAAACGGCTCGAAGCGTAAACGATGTGTATGTCGGTCGTGTCGCAAAAGAAAACACAGTGCGTTTTTGGTTCCAACGTTTTCGTTTTGGAAATTTCGACCTGCAGAACAAGCCCCGTGGACGGCCGGAGACCCAAGTATAATGAAGAATTGAAGGCTTATTGTGGATGCGGAAACATCGCAAACCACGTCCGAGTTAGCTTCAGGCTGCGGTGTAAGTGATAAAACTGTTTTAATCCACATGAAGCAAATTGGAAAGATTAAAAAGCTTGAAAGTTGGGTAACTCACGAATTGAGTGAAGCAAACCGAATAGGCGCTTCGACAGCTGCGTTACATTACTTAACCGGCACAATCATGAAGGGTTTTTAAATCGAATAATTATCTGTGATGAAAACTGGATTCTCTACGTTAATCGGAAGTGCTCATCGCAATGGTTGGACCCTGGCAAGCCAGCCAAATCCTGTCCCAAGCAAAAATAGACCCCAAAAAAGTTACATACTTGTAAGCGTTTGGTGGACTGGTGCCGGTGTCGTTTATTACAGTTTTCTCAAATCTGACCAGACGATAACGGCAGACGTCTATTGTCAGCAATTGCAAACTATGCTGGAAAAACTAGCTGTTAAACAACCGAGGCTGGTTAATCGCTCTACGCCACTGCTACTTCACGACAACGCTAGAGCACACACTGCACAACAAACGGTTACCAATTTAGAAGAGCTTCAATTGGAATGTCTAAGGCATCCACCGTACTCCCCGGACTTTGCTCCAACAGATTACCATTTTTTTCGAAATTTGGATAACTTCTTGCAAGGGAAAAATTCAATTCCGATGGGGCAGTCCAAATCGCCTTCAAAGATTTTATTGATTCCCGTCCGAATGGTTTTTTTTAGTAAGGGGATCAATGAACTACCTATGAGCTGGCAAAAGTGCAAAGATAACAATTGTTATACTTTGATTAAATAAATATATTATATTAAAAAATATTCGACTTTTTGTTCCTCCCATACCAAACACCAGTTTCATATGTAAGGATCTAATATTTATTTGCAGGCTGCTGACAGACAGACCGACGGACAGCGAAGTCTTAGTTATAGGTTTATCCTTTGGGTACGGAACCCTTAATAGGTTTGCAACAAAAACACACGTGACGTTAGTGTTAGAAATCACATACATTTCGATTTTATTTAAGAATGTTAAAATAGAACTTTTTGTTTGTCATTCCGATTAAATTTGATAGATTCGTAATTTGATTACGTTTTCTATCAATTAGGTAATAATAAAAAGATAAATATCTATATTTTCGAGGCAATATGCTATAAAACTTAATTTTATATTAATTTCTCTCATCGCATGACTTGCAAATATCTAAATCATAGATAAGAGAGCCACCGCATCCCCCAACAGATCGTACAATCGTCGGATTAGCCACGTTGGTTTTCCCGAGGCATTTCAATATACGAGAGCGCACAAAAGTAGCCAAAGTGCTTTGGATCGTGCTCACGGTTTTATTATTTATGACCTTGAAAATTGCACGAGAAAGCCGACACAGCCGTTGTGGTTACGCCCACTTTATGGGCACGCGTTAAGCGAACTTTCCATTAATGCAAAGCACCTTTTTTGCTTTTGGCACCGACGCTCTTAGCCTTTACGTGCAAAAAAATTGGGCAGAATTGTCTCTGAATTATAATTTTTATTCACGACGACCACGGTAGTGCAATTTGAACGAGGATATTACCCTTGTATAAATTAAACGCTAACGATCTGCTTTTACAGACTCTTTTTAAAATGTAAACATTAAAATTAATTTATTTTATTTGGTTAATAAAAATAGAACACCACTGAGTGAATTATGCAGTTAGAAAGAGAAAAAACACATTTATTGAACCATAAACAAAAGTTACACATTTCAGTTGCAATAAAACATGTATATATAACATATCTCACTCACTTTTTTCACCATATCTCAGAAACTAGAAGTGCTAGGACTCTACGATTTTGTATAGAAGATCTTATAATGATGTAGGTGGTAACTAATGAAAAACCATGGGGGCGAAGTCACGGGCAACAGCTAGTAATTTATAAATCCGAACAAAATCCTCAAACAAAGAAAATTGTTACGTGGCAAATAGCAACACTAATGACCTGAATATTGTAAGAGAAGAGAACATTATGGCCGCACGCCACGCCATTCCTGTAACTTTGGAGAACTTATCCAGGTAGACTTGATACATTTTTAACGAATGAACATATAAGATACCGTTATTTGGAT